TGCAGCCTGCAATATGGATTACATCTCAGCATAAAGAAAACAAAAATCTTCACCAATGGGTTAATAGGTAATATCATAAGATAAAGAAATAATTGAAATTGTCAACATTTTTCATCTTGTTTGGATCCACAATCAATTTCCTTGGTACCAGCAGATCAAGAGACGTATAGCATTGAGAAAGTCTCCTGTGAGGGATCTCCCCAAAGTCCAGAAAAGCAATGATGTCAGTTTAAAAACGAAGGTGTACCTGATTCAAGCCATGGATTTTCAATTTACCTGCTATGCATCTGAGAGCCAGACAATGAACAAGGATGAAAGAAGAAGAATCAATGTCTTTGAGATGTGGTGTTGAAAAGTGTCGAATATCTCATGAACTGACAAAAGAACAAATAGATATGTCTTAGAGAAATGAGTACTCCTTGGAGACAAGAATAGCAAAGCTTTATCTTACATACTTTCAGCATGTTGTTAGAGAAAGCTATTTCTTGGAAAGGGACATTATGCTTGGAGAGGTGGAGGGTCAGTGAAAGAGGAAGACCCTCAACAACAAATACTGATACAGTGATTTGACAATGGGCTCAAGTATGTTGGGAATGATCAGAGTGGTGCAAGATAGGGCAGAGTTCAGATCTGCTCTGCTATTCATATTGTTGCTATGAGTCATACTCAACTTGATGGTACTTTTTTTAAAATTAATAAAAATATTTTATTGAATTTCAGGAACTTGGTACTTTAACTTGATGGTACTTTTAACATCAATAACAATATTGATCTTCTTTTGTTACATTTCATTTTCTAAAACTTCCAATTTTTCTTGATTTATACTTTGTACATTTCATGTTCTCTCTAACAATGGATGAACAAATATGTCTTGGAGAGGGTGCAGCCACAGTGCTCTTTGGAGGCAAGAATGATGAGACTTCACCTCACGTACAATGGGCCTGTTGCTAGAAGGAGTGATTCCTTGGAGAAGGACATGATGCTGAGAAGGGTGGAGGGTCAGCGAAGGAGAGGAAGACCTTCAACAAGGTGGATTGACACGGTGAATGCTGCAATGGGCTCTTGTGTGTCAGGAAATGTGAGGATGGCGCAGGATAGAAGAGGTTTGAGATCTTTTGTTCATAGGGTTGCTATGAGTCGTACTTGACAGCACCTAACAACAACAACAACTACAACTAACAATGGATGGTTCCAGCTTCTCATAATGAGTTGTATCACTTCAATAAGTTAAGGTCCTAAAAAGCTTTACTTCATCCATGTCATTAAAGTAACAACAAGGATATTTTCAGTATCTTACAACCTAAATAGTTTATCAGGTAGCACTGTATCAGACCATGTTCCACTACTATCCATAAGGTTTTCTTTGGCCAGTTTTTTTACTTAATTTCCAGGCCCTTTATTCCAGTCTATCTTAGTCTAGAAGTTCCACTGATGCTGTCTACCATGGGCGACCCTCCTGGTTTCTAACAGTTTCCAGCATAACAGAAATCTGAAGCCACTATAGTACAACAAACTGACATATCAGCGGTAAGAGTAAGTGATGCTACTGTTATGTGCCAATGAGTTCATAGCAACCCTTTGAACAAGTGATGTTGTTATTGTTGTGTAGAGTCAAGTAGGAACCTACTCATAGCTGAACCTCCAATGGGCTTTCAGAGGCAGTAAGTGACATGGGAGGAGACTGCCCACCTTTCTCCCATCGGTCATCTGGCAGATTCAAACCATGTACTTTTGTATTGGCAGCACAATTTCTTAGCACTATCAGAGCTCCAAGAACAAATGATAGTATTTTCTTAAATGGTAAGTATCAAATCTATTTACTTTCCACACCAGAATTACTCTAGGGGCTTGGAGGTCATGGAAACTGATGAGCTTAGAACTCAAGGGAATTAAAAATTCATGTTATAGACTGAATTGTGTCCCCAAAAACTGCATGTTGTAAATCTTAATCTCTGTGATTATAATCTCATCTGGGAAGGTAATGTCTTCATTATGGTAATGAGATAATGTGATTAGGGGAGTAGAAATTGTTTTAAAGAAATCTCTTCTGAGATACCAAAACTCAAAATTCATTGAAATTAAGTCAGAACGTAAGACCCTCCTGGGTTTCCGAGGCTGTACATCACATGGGAAGAGACTGTTCATTTTTGTCTCTAAGAGCTGCTGGTGAATTCAAACTGCCAGAGAAGTGTGGCCTTTGGGTTAATAGCACAACTCCCTATGGACTAAGTCACCAGAGCTTCCTATTGAAAAGATCTAAGAAAGCAAGAAAAAGAAGAGGAAATAAAACTGAGGCCAAAACTGTCTTGGAGGAAGTAACCAGAGTGCTCCTTAGAGGCAAGGATGATAAAACTTCTCACATACTTAGGAGGATGCTGTCAGGAGGGGATGGATCATACTTAGAAAAAGATATCATGTTTGGGAAGGTAGAGGGTCTGCAAATGACAAGAAAACCCTTAATGAAATGAACTGACATATGACTGCAACAGGCTTGAGCATCAGAGAGATTGTACAGATAGTACTGGACAGGGCAAGGTTCACAGCTGTTGTTCACTGATTAAGTCACTATGAGGTGCAGTTGGCTCACTGGCACCTAACAATACCACCAGGTTCTACACAGTTCTCCATTTTCTGAGTGATAACCAAAAATCCCCAAACCTACTACCATCAAGTCAGTTCTGACTCTTAATAACCCTCGTAGGATAGAGTTGACCTGCCTTATAGAGTTTCCAAGACTATAATCTGTACAGACATAGACTGCTCGCTCTTCTTTCTCCCATGCAGTGGTTAGGTGAGTTCAGAGTTCAAAGTCCTAATCTTTTTTGTTAATGCCAAATGCCTTTACCATAGTGTCACTGGAGTAACCAGTGCCTCTCAAAGTAACAAAGGGCATGATATAGATTTTAAAATCTTAAACTTTATTTTATCCAATAGTCTTAAAATTCCTCTCCTAACTAAATGAATTGTTTATCAGCCCTAACAGGTAACTTAATCTATCTATTTAAGTGTCTCTTACTTCCAGGATCTGATAGCTGTTCTCATGATCACTGTAACAACAAAAATTAGACAAAAACAGGGGGAGGGGAGTGTTGGGATTGAAAGAGTAGAAGGAAGAGAAACCTCAAAAACTGTCTTAACTAGATTGAAAGATGACTGACTATTGTCATCTTATTTGTAATACAATGGTCAAGTCACTGAAGTCATTGAGCTAAAAATAAAACTTAACACTTGAAAAGAAACTTTCAGGAACCAGGATCCTACCATCAATAGCAATCAATAAAGTTTGCAAGTCAGCGGTCCCTAGTTCTTATGGAGAACTAGCTACCTGGGTAATGTTATTGACTGGAATGGAAAACAATGGAAAATTTGGAGGAAAGAGTGGTGAATCAACCTTTCTCTTCCATTTGCTACATTTTATTAGGTTATGAGTAAGCATGAGAGTGTATGAGAAATGGGGAGTGGGAGGGGGGACAGAGAATCATCAAAATGGCATCTGACTGACCAAATGTAGCAATGCTCACTCCAAAGGTTCCTACATTATGACTGTCAGCTTGAGGACACAAAGACTATGAGCAAAGCAAGCACACTCCTAAATGTTAAACTAGAACAAGATATAGTGAGAATCAGCTATAAGAAATTAACCTGTTCCACATAAATTAACGCTAAAAGCACTTGTTAAAATGAATTCTTTCTAATGCAAAAACTCCAGAAAGAAGTCTTTGAGCCTTGCCCTCCCACAGAAGTGCATGCCATTTACCTTATTGGTAGAGGTCACTAAAATGTACTAGTAGGTGTCTAAAGCAAGACAGCATTCTTCTGTTTTTCTTGCCTAACCTTATTTTTCTGAAATAAAGGGTAATTACAGAAAATCATGAAGTATGTATCTCCTTTTTCAACACAGATAAGTACAAATACAACCGCATCTTTGTTTCATACAATATGCCCAATATCCTACATTGACAAACAACCTTGGCAAAGCCACTGCATTGTGGACAAAAGTAAAATAACAATAGTCACTAAAATCTTATCAAAAGGGGGAAGAATTTTCCAACTTCTCCAATTTAATATCAACGAATTAAATAAGAAAACAGGAAACAAAATAATGACAGAAGCTTGTAACTAAATTGTGAGTGCAAACATTGCACTAATAACCAAGTTTCCCTGTCATATTGATTTTTAATGCATCAAACCATGAATCTTTGAGGACACAGAAAACAAAAGCTAAATCGTGCTTCCCATTTTCAAGGACCACATTTCACCTTTAGAAGTATAACCAGCATGAAGTCACAAATTCGGTGCATCTTTTCATTTCTCCTCTCGAATGATTACATGAATTCTGCACTACAGTCCAAATCTGCTAGTTTGGGCCATCACACACACACATCAGGCCTCCAACGCACTCCACAACCCAGAGCTAAGACTGTCTAGAAATCCGCACTGTGTCACTGCATAAGACAGTTTCCTGCTGCACACATCCAGGAAGAAAGCCATCCAAGCACGCTGTCAGATATCAGTAAGGCTGTAAATGACAGAAGTATTTGCTAACCAAACAGCAGAGCAGCAACATCGCCACCTTTAAAAATCGTTTAAGCAGTTTTTGTCCTCGTCATCTCACTTCCCTCGTCCTCCCCCATTCTTTCTCTCTCTCTCTCTTACACACACGCACACTGCAATTTATCTCCAGGTTTGCAAGAGAGCAGCTGCGAGCTCTGGGCTACCTTTGGACTGACAACTCATTCAGAGCCTTAGAAGACGTTCTCATAGACACACACCACAGCCACTTCCACCACCACCGCTCGCTCGCTCTCGCCCTCACAACCTCTTCCCATGCCAGTCCCCCAGTTGCTGACCACCTAGCAGCTCTTCAGCACGAGCTCCACGCGTTACTATTTAAAGACGATTTGGCGGACCTTAGCTCAGGAAACCCCCTCCCCACAAAGGCCACCCCAACAGCACGGCCCGGAAGCAAGCCCCCCAGCCCGCCGGGAGAGATGTACTACCTTTAGACTGGCAGTCTGCACAAAACTTATTATCCTCTTCCAGCAGCAGGTTGGCCAAGACCGCCTGGTACCGATCCACGTCCTTCACCGATTTGCCTGTCATGGCCAGGGTGCCGGCGGGGGCAGAGGGCTACGTGCCCTCCTCGCCCCCAGATGCCTCTGCTTCAGTCTGGGAGCGAAGACTCCCGGTCCCCCGCCCAGGGGCACCTCCTGAGCGGGGTAGAGTCCTTTTCTCAGGCCTGGTCACGCTCCCGTTTTCTGATCAGCGCTACCCGACCCCCTACTCTGCAGCCCCTCAGTGAGGCGCCCCCTGGCGGTCTTAGAGAAAGGCCCGAGACCAGAGGAGGCTGCTGGATTAAGGACCCTTAATCCAGACAAAAGGTGTTATAGGTCCTCCTCGCTGCAGGACGTACACACAGCCCCTCGGCCTGTCTCTGAGGGCTGTGCGTCTCAAGCCTCGGTTTCCCTGGCAGCTGTCGCCTACTCAGCCACCACCTCCGCCGCCTACTTCCGGCAGCTCTTCCTCTCCACCTCCACCCAGTCCTGCCCGCGCATGCGCCCCGCCCCCCCCCCCGTACTGGGCTCTTCCCTCGGCCCCGCCTCCCAGGAACCAATCGCTGTTCCTGGTGAAGTGAAGGGCGGGGCTTGGTGTGAGGGGGGGGCAGAGGGAGGAGTGGACACGCCCCCTGCATGTCCTTGGAAATGAATGAATGGAGCTTGATGGAAAGGGAGTAGAAGTAAGAGAAAACAACTAACATTTAATGAGCTCTTATTAAGTACCAGGTACTTTGCTAAAAGTATTACACGAATTACTACAATTAATCCTCTATACTTGGTAAGTTAAGGACGTGTCCTCCTTAGGTAAACTGATGTTACCAATGTATCATCCTTATGCAACTCAGAGTAGTCCAGTTCTTTCCTTCAGAAGGGAATAAAACCCTAACCTGGAATACGGAAAACATCACACACTTCTCAAAATATCTGAGGATTCTAGTCATCTCTCATTTAAAAAGTCTGCTCCTACTGAACTCTGTACCAAACCAGGAAGCTGTTGTCAAAAAAGAACAAGGAAAAACATTGCACGGTTTAAAATCAAGAAAAATTTGCATAAAAGCTATAACCTCTTTCCATGTCTATTCAATCTATATATTGTTGTTGTTGATGTTGTTGTTGTGTGGCATCGAGTCGCCTGTGACTTATAGTAACCCTATGTACAACCTACCCTATCGTGAGCCTGTTTCACTGACTCAGACACACCTAATCCCATTGCCCCAGTTATTGAGTCAATCTATCTCTTGCAGGGTCTTCCTCTCCTGTGCTGTCCCTACACCCTTCCAAGCATTATGTCCTTCTCCAAGGAATAGCCCGTCCTGGATGCGTGCCCAAAGTATGTGAGATGGATCTTCAAAATCCTTGCCTCCAAGGAGAAACTTGGTTTCACTCTCTCTAAGACAGAGCTATTCTCTTGGTGTCCCATGGTAGGTTCAATACTCTTCTCTAGCACCACAACTCCAAGGCATCAATTCTTCTTCTGTTATCCTTAATCATTGTAATTGCAAAAACCCCAATGGCATGGGAAAAAAAATTAAAAACAAAAATAAATTAAAAACAAATAAAAAATACCATGGCATGGGTCAGGTGCGCCTTAATCTCTAGAATGACATCACTACTCCTCAGCACTCTGGAGAGGTCCCTGACACCAGATTTCCCTAATACAATTTTTCTTTTGATTTCCTGACTGCTGGTGCCAAGATATTGATTGTGAAGCCGAACAAGTAAAAATTCTTAACAACCTCTATCTATTCTCCATCTACTATGAAGCCCAGTAGTGAAAATCTGTCTTCTTGATGTTAAGTTTCAATCGATATTGAAGACTATAATCTTTGACCTTCTGCAGCAAATGCTTCAGGTCCTTCCCAGTTGTATCATCTGCATGACGCAGGTTGTCAAGTCCATCCTCTCAAACAATCTTTTCCACATATAGATAGAAAAGGTATGGAGGTAGTACACACCCCGGATGCACTCCTTTTCTAATTTTGAACCATACAGTGTTTCCTTGCTCTGTTCTGATGACTGCCTCCTGATTCAAGTATAGGTTTCACATGAGCACAATCAAATGTTCTGGGATTCCCATTTTTCACAAGGTTAGCCATAACTTGTTCTTATCTACACAGTCAAATGACTTTGCATGACCAATGAAGCACAGATAGATATTCCTCTGATAATATTTGCTTTCAGCCAAGATCTGCCTAACATTGGTGATAATGTCTCCAGTGCCATAGCCTTTCCTATATACTGAACATGTCATTCAAGAAATTGTTATTTATGAAGAAGAATGTGGTATCAGAATATTAGGAAGACTCACCTGTAGCCTTTGTTATGCAGATGGCACAAATTTGCTTGCTGAAAGTGAGGAGGACTGGAAACACTTACCACAAAAGATCAAAAGCTACAACTTGCAATATGAATTACATCTCAATCTCAAAAAAACAAAAATCCTCACCTTTGGACAAATAGGCTGTATCAAAAAATTGGAGAAAAAAAAAAAGAATTGGAGAAAATAGAAGATATCCATGATTTTATCTTGCTTGGAACCACAGCGTACATAGTAAGTACCAGTAGTCAAGAAAGAGATATATTGCACTGCCAAAGTCTGCTGCCTGGGACTTCTACAAAGTATTGAATAGCAATAATATCAACTTAAAACTAAGGTGTGCCTGACTCAAGCCATGGTCTTTTCAATCACCTCCTATGCATCTGAGAGCCGAACTATGAATATGGATGACAGAAGAAGGACCCATGCCTTTGAGTTGTGGTGTTGGAGAAGATTGCTGAGTGTCTGGTAGAATACCAAAAGAACAAACAGATATGTCTTAGAGAAAGTGCAGTCATAGTGCTCTTTAGAGGCAAGGATGGTGAAGTTTTGTCAAACATACTTTTGGCATATTGTTAGGAGAGGCTATTCCTTGGGAAACAACATCATGTTTGGAAAAGTGAAGGGATGGCAAAAGAGAGGAAGATTCAACTAGGTGGATTGACACAGTGGCTGCAGCTATGGACTCAAGTGTGTCAAAGATTGTGAGGATGGTACAGGATAGGACAGGGTTCAGATCTATTGTTCATAGGATTGCTGAGTTGTACTTGTCTTGAGGGCACCTAATAACAACAAAATATGCATGTGAAAGTTGAATGATGAGCTACAACCAGGAGAAGATAACATAGATGAATGGGACCTACTAAGACTCAAATCCCTATGCACATCCAAAAACTTCTCCAGTAGGGTAAAAAGGGAAGCCACTGACTGGGAAAAAGTATTCGGTAATAT